CTTACATTTCATGAAATTAAAAAAATATTCTTCCATTCCTGACAAAGGGGCAGGGAGGCCTCATCTTCTGACCTCCTCTAACCCCATAAGAGGAAGACAGAATCACCATCAGTAGCCCAAGGCCTATTCCTGTGAGGCCAGACATGCTGCCTCCCTCCAGCCCTTTCACCAACCCTGGCACCAACCATTCCTCCTGCAGCACTCACCACCTTTCTGCTGGGTTCGATAATTCACTGCAGTGGCCACACAGAACTCACAGATTATGGGGTTTATTAGAGAAGCACCAGGCTACAATTCAAGTTCAGGAAAAACACTCAGTCTGTCTCGGCCTCCATCTCTCAGCCAGCAGTCTCACTCAGCCACTCTCCCAGCAATGTGTGTCACTTGGTGTCTCTCTCAGCAATGCGTGTCTCTCAATGTCTCTTTCTCAGCAGCATGTGTCTCTCAGTGTCTCACAGCAGCACATGTCTGTCAGTGTCTCTTTCACAGCAGCATGTGTCTACTGTGTCTCTCGGTATCTCTTTCTCAGCAGTGCGTGTTTCTTAGGAGCTTGTTTCTCTCAGCAGCACGTCTTTCTCAGCCAGCAGTCCGAGAGACCTCTTCTGCCTCTGGAAGGCCTCCTTTTGAGCCTGGCAGAGTGGCCAAACTAACCAATCATAACATCAGAATTCTAAGCACCTGATAGAGAGTGAACTTCCCAGAACATTGCTTTCTGCCACTCTCAACAGAAATACCCCAGATGGATAACTTTTACAATCAGGAGCTCCTCAGTTGCTCACAACAAATTCCACCATGGAGTTTACAAAGACTTATGGCTAGAAAAGCCATACCAGATAATTTACTACACTGCAATTCCCTAGTTCAGTAGCCCTTCAGAATATCTCAGTAAGTCAGAGGTATTGTTTTAAACATCATTTTAAACATACAGTGAGCACTATGGAAAGTAAAAGATTAGTGTGGTAATGAGCCCACATAATTAGGTAAGCAAGTTGCTTTGTTGAACCGAATTCCCCTTTAAAGCTTTTTACCCTTAATCCATACTATATATTACTTGTAAATAAGGGCATGAGTGATAGCAGTCTTGTTTGGGGGCTACAATTAAAATGTCACCTGCTCCCCCTCCCTACTCTTGCTCTCATCAGAACTAAATTACCCTCCTGAGCTCATTGCCTGGCTGGAGTTTACTTCAGTTAGGGAGATGTTATTGTTTTTGATTCATAATGACCCCATACAAAACAGACTAAAATGTTACCCCAGTCTGCGCCATTTCTGTGGTTAGTTGCACAATAAGACTATTGTGATCCATAGAGTTTCCATTGGCTGATTTTTCTAAATGGATTACCAGGTCTTTCTTCATAATCCATCCTAGTATGGAAGCTCCACTGAAACTGGTTCAACATCATGGCAACACAAAAGCCTTCACTGACAGATAGGTTGTGGCTGCACTGAGGTGCAATGGCCAAGAATCAAAACTGGGTGTCCCACATGGAAGGTGATAATTCTATCACTGAATCACCACTGTCTCCCAACTAGGGATATAGTTAAAGGTGTAAGTTGCCCACAAAGGACAATAAAAAGATTGATCTTAATCTTTCAATCTCATATTAGTCCTATCTTTTTAGTTGCATATGTATAGAATGCCAAATATTATTCTGAGTGCTGGGGACCTAGCAGAAGACAAGACAAGGTTCCTGCTATGATGGTGCTTGTGGTTTACATGGGGTAAGTAAGGTACATAGTAAAGAAATAAACACATGAGATCATTTTGAATAGATGAGGGCTGCTGGGGAAGCATTGATTGGTAGGATGACCAGGAAAGGATGCTTGAGATGAAGTGGTTAGAGATCATCTTTCTGGGGATTAGCATTTAAATTGAGACTAAAAGACAAAGGGGCAGCCTTGTGAATGTCTGAGGGAAGGGTTGTACAAAGATCAGGAACTGCTAATGCAAGGGTCCTGTGAGTGTACTGAGTGGCATGTTTGATGAATAAAGATAAGTCATTGGGCTGGAACATAGTGGACAAGATGGGGAATGGAGAGTGCAAATGGCAACTAAGATGGGGTCTGTAGGCCCATAGTAAGGAGGTCAGATTTTATTCCAGGTGTGACAGAGTGCCACTTGAAGGTTTCAGTGAGAGAAGTAATAAAATATGACTTACATTTTAAATTATCATCTCATCTCTTGTGTGGAAAGTGACTAAAGAGGGATCCTTGAAAGCATAGTCCCTGAGTGGTAGAAATGGTTAAATTCTTCACTAATGGAAAGGTTGACAGTTTGAATGCACTCAGAGGTGCCTTGGAAATCTGTTTCCAGAAGGTCACAGCCTTGAAAACCTTATGGAGGTCGGTTGTACTGTGCACGTATGGGGTTGCCATGAATTAAAATAGACTCAAAGGCAACTGGGTGGTTTAAGAGTCAAAGTTGGGTGACAACTTAATAGGCTTTTCATAGTTTAAGTATGAGATATGATGTCTCTACCCAGGATGCAGATGGAGACAGTGGGCTAATTCAGAAGGAAGAAATGATAGTACTTGCTGATGGATTCAATGGAGGAATGGGTGAAAGATACCATAGATAACTTCTAGATTTTGGGTGGATAATGGTGCTGTTTGTTGAAACTTGGAATATTAGGTGATGAACAGGAAAATCAAGTGAATTGTGTTTTACATATGTTAATTTTGATATATTTTGTGGACTAAATTGCAAATAAAATTCTTTTCTAGTTCTGAAATATGGATGAATTTTTAATTACTGGTAACTCTCTGATTGAATAATTTTTCTCAGTGGAATGCCTACTTACTCCTTGGGTGTCATATCAGTAAAAGGAGGAGACTAATTTAAATATGTATAAGCATATACCACCACTCGTCTGTCAATTTGTAATCCTGTGGTGGCATGCGTATTGCTGTGAGGCTGGAAGCTATACACATATAGGTATGTTTTGGTGTGTATAAAATTAGGAATTCAAACCATCTCTACTGTTGACTACTTGGTTGGTAGTGAAATTGCCATCTTCTGCATATGCACATGGCCTACAGTTTGGGACTGTTAGTATTTCTGAGAAATTGGCTAAAGACCCTTCGACTTCTGCTTATGAGAAAGAACCATCTTGTCAGGTGATAGATAAATCTTACGTACATGAACAGAGTACTGTAATCAATACAAATGCCAGTCATTGAAGACTGAGGTGTCTTGTGTTCTTGTGTCCTTGCTATAGAGCAGGTCAGCATTGTAGAGATAATAACACCACAGGGAGTTCAGTGGGTAGAATAGACACTAACTGGTTTTATAGGCTGGGTTGAGTTCAGCACTTTTCTGATTTGAGCAGCTTCTCTCCCTGTTGTCTAATACCTCAACTCAAGTATTAGGGCTTGGGGAAACAGAAAAGGAGAAGTGAGGGAGAGAGGAAGAGTGATGCTGGACAGAATGAGGCACAAGTGGTTTTGTTGAGGCAGTTAGTTGAGGGGAGTCCTCAACTTACTGAACCTTCTACTAGTGAGCTGAGGAGAAGTGAACATGCAGGCCTCATCTACAGCTTGAAGCATGGCTTTTTTAGCTGTTGTCCCTTCCCTGCTAGAAATGCCTAGAAACCTTTAGAAGAGAGGGCATCATCAAAGACCTGTGGTCTTTCAGACAGGATCAGAGGAGTCCTCGACCCACTGGCAAATCATAGCTAACTAGTTGGAGAGCGTGTTTTAGGGCTTCACTTACAGACTACGACTCTGCTCTTGCCCAGATGGTAATATCTTCTCAGTCTTCTTGGCTTGTTCCTATTCTACTTAAAAGAAACTATCTTTTAAGAATAGCCAGCTGCTGATAAACACCTTAAACTATTGTGCTGAGATCATCTTAAAATCTTAAACCAAAAATATCCCCTGAAATCTTTTTAAAACCAAACAGTACTTTAGCTTTAAGCTAGTAAAGAATGCCACCACTCATCTGTCAATTTGTCATACTGTGGTGGCTTGTGTGTTGCTGTGATGGAGGAATCTATGCCCTTCAAATACCATCCCTGTCATCCATAGTGGACAGGTTTCAGCAGAGCTTCCAGACTAAGACAGACTAGGAAGAAGGATATAGCAGTCTACTTCTAAACAAACTGGCCATTGGAAACCTTATGGAGTATAGCTAGAATGCTCCTTAGAAGCAAGAATGGCCAATCTTTGTCTTTCATACTTTGGTCATGGTATCAGAACAGATCAGTCCCTGCAGAAGGGTATCGTGCTTGGTAAAGTAGAGGGTCAGTGAAATAAGGGAAGATTCCCAACAAGATGAATTGATACAGTGGCTGCAGTGATGGGCTCAAGCATAGCAAAGATTGTGAGGATGGTGCAGGAGCAGGCAGTGTTTCGTTCTGTTGTGAGTTGGAACCTATTTGACGGCACCTAACAACAGTGAAGAATGCCTACCTTGAACATTGTGCTCTTTTAAGAACTATTTTTATGGGATCAAACTGACAATAGCACTCAAAAAATTAGACAGGGACCTTAGGAGACGTGAGTTTATGTTAATGAGGAAGGAACAACACAAATAGAGTGAGAATGATTGCACAACTTGAAGGATGTAATCAATGTCACAAAATCGTATGTGTATTCTTCTTAACAACAACAAAAATAAAATATATTTTAAAATAAATAAATAACAGCCAGTTGCTGTCAAGTTGATTCTGCCTCCTGGTGACCTCATGTGTATCACAGTTGAACTGTGCACCATAGGGTTTTCAGTGGCTGATTTCTCAGTAGGTCACCAGGCCTTTCTTTCAAGTTGGCTGTAAGTGGACTTGAACTACCAACTTTCTGGTTAGCAGTGGAGTGCATTAACTATTTGCATTACTCAAGGGAACCATAATGGAGCATCCTCTTACTTCTCTAAGCACAATTTGAAATGGTGATCAATGAGGTGCTGGGCCTCTACCATTGTTTAGGCAAAAAAAACATCTATTTTAAAATTTCCTGTAATAATGGAAAATCTGACTGATTTTCTCTTTTTTCCTGTTAAGATTTTATGGCCAAAGTGAAGATGGAGATGAATTTAATAACTCAATTCGCAAGTTATTTCTCTCTTTCAATATGCTAATGGACAGGCCTCTGGAGGAAGCTGTCAAGATCAAGGTCAGCATGGCAGAATCAAGGTCAATTCTTTGAATGCTATATGTGTGGATGTTCTAGGGCAATATTGAACTGCCTTTGAAAAGAAAGCGTGTTAATTTTCATATGACTTATAGCATATAAAGAAAAAAAATCCATGTTTTAACTTTTATGTACATTTTGTGTTTTTAAATGCTAGTTTACAAATACAAGATGGACTTTTAGATACCCCTTGAATGTCTGCTGTGACTTCTTTGAATTCAACAGACTGATCTTGATCTTGATGCTGTTACTGACAACACATTTTTTTTTGTTCTTAGCCTTCTCCCCCGTTCTTTATAGTTTTATCACCCTCCATCATTATCATTGTTGTTGTTGTTATATGCCGTCGAGTAGGACCCAACTCATAGCCACCCCTCCTTGGGTTTCCGAGGCAGTATCACTATGGAAGTAGGTTGCTCAACCTTCCTGCCAAGAAGTGGCTGGTGAAAAAATTGGACTCCAAATGGGCAATGCCTGTCGTTAGCAAAGACAAGAAGCTGCCTCCCCCGGCCTTTTCAGGAAAAATATTTTAAGCGATTGTGTATAGCAGTGTCAGCTTTCTTTTTTTTTTTTTTTTTTTTTACAAAGGAATCTGTGTCCAGTTTTCTATTTAAGATCAGAGTGCAGCCTTTTCTTCTGATATCAAGCAGTAAATTCTTTATTTGTCCTGCTTGGCAACTCAATTTGTTTTTTTTTTACAGGGTGCAGCTTTGAAGTACCTTCCCAACATCATTAATGATGTCAAACTTGTGTTTGACCCTATTGAGCTCAGGTAAATACAAAATATTTGTTTCATGAATTTAACAGAGAAGCAGCTCCCCTGGTTGGCTGGGCTGGGGTATTGCACATGCTTTGGTTCTCCTTACAGACAGTTACTGAGCACCTTTCTGTGCTCAGCTCTGCAGAGGATATAAAAGAATACACTGACCCAACCCTTGAAGGAGACTTATACTTTCTCTGGGAAAAAAGACATGCAGACATAAAATTAACTACAAAAAGAGAGTCCATAATAACATACTTGAAGCCCTATACCTAAGTGCCCCAAGAATGCAAAACTAGACAGTGAGCAATCTAGAAAAGGCACTTTGGAGAAGCTGAGTGTTAAGGTATACCATTACTGTGCTAGTTGCTGTTGATTCCAACTCGTGACCCCCACATATGCAGAGTAAGTTTTTCAAGGCTGAGACTTTTTGGAAACAGATCTCCAGGCCTGTCTTCCGAGATGCCTCTCAGCAAGTTTGAAGTGCCAAGCTTTCAGTTACTAGTCTAGCACTTAACCATTTGCGCCACCCAGGGACTCCTAGTGTTAAGGTAGATCTGGGAAATGCTGATGAACGTGGATGTGCTGTGCCAGTTTAAACAGAATGAGCTCTATGGCTGAGCCCTTTAGTGAGCAAGGAATACAGTCTTTTTATGATTTGGGTGAAGATTTACAGAGCAAATTCACTTTCCATACAGCAGTTCACGTATACTTTGTCTCATGTCATTGACCACAGTCTACCACAATGCAACAGCTCCCCTCC